ACCAGGACTAAACCAGGACTAAAACAGGACTAAACCAGGACTAAAACAGGACTGAAACCAGGACTGAACCAGGACTAAACCAGGACTGAACCAGGACTGAACCAGGACTAAACCAGGACTGAACCAGGACTGAACCAGGACTAAAACAGGACTGAACCAGGACTAACCAGGACTGAACCAGGACTTAAACCAGGACTAAACCAGGACTAAAACAGGACTAAAACAGGACTGAACCAGGACTGAACCAGGACTAAACCGTTTTCAGTCCCGTTTTCAGTCCTGGTCTCAGTTCCGGTCTGGTCCCGCGCTGGTTTTTGTCTCAGTCCTGGTCTGGTCCCGGTCTCAATCCTGGTCTCAGTCCTGGTCTCAATCCTGGTCTGGTCCCAGTCTCAATCCCGGTCTGGTCCCAATCTCAATCCCGGTCTGGTCCTGGTCTCAATCCTGGTTTGGTTCCAATCTCAGTCAAGGTCTGGTCCCACTCTGGTCCCAGTCTGGTCCCGGTCTCAGTCCCGGTCTCAATGACTGGTCTGGTCCTGGTCTCAGTCATGGTCTGGTCTAAATCTGGTCCCGGTCTCAGTCCTTGTGTGGTCCCTGCCTAAGCCCTGGTCTCAGTCCCAGTCTGGTCCTGGACCTGGTTCAGTCCTGGTTCAGTTTAAGTCACGGAAACGTTATCCGTTTTATCAATTTTTCATTTAAACACAAATTCGAAAAATGAAAATTATCTCATTATCTGTTTTTTTTATTTTGGTTTTGGAGACAAATAATGAAGAAAATAGTTTTTTTTTTTTTCATTTTCTTATTTTTGGTTTTATTTTGAAAAACAAATGACACACAGATTATCACATAGACCATTTTTCTGTTCATTGATATTATAAAAATCAGGATTGAACACAAAACCAGGCACAAACAATTCTCAGTTTTATAATTTCGAAGCTGAGGTTAATTGGGGACAGAATTACTGGCCGGAGTCTTGTCTCGGCTCTCATTAAATAATCATTCTTTTTCCATTTGGGTATATCAAAGTCGAGACGAACGAGAGCCAAAAACCACCAAACATTTGTGGCTTTTTTGGCTCTGATTTCAGAACCACAAATTTCTGCAGAAAACTAAACGTAGTTACCGTGATTACACCGTATTAAAGAGTTTGGGTTGGCATATTTAGACTTAAAGGTTGTATAGAGGATTTTTTTAAAGGAAGAGAAATACAGCGACAGTCCTTGTGCGCGTTCAGAATCACTGTTGAAGTTTCCTGTCTAGAAGTAATTCAGCGACCGACGCGTCAGTTTTTAGACCCTTCGTCTGCTTCGGTCGCGCCATCGCTGGACGAGATCTCCAAGAATCACCTCAGTTTGGCTTTGCTCCTTTTTCCTCTTCTCTTCTTCTTTCAGCGACCTCAAAAACGACTTTCTTTTGCGGCGAAGACGGTCGTGGATTCTCGTCCGCCGTCGCGACAAACTTTTGTGAGAAATGCGAGGAAGCGACAGTTCGAAAAAGCCTCTAAGAACCGCTGCGTAAACCACGTAATCCCCGCGCTCCGACGAGTCAGTTATACTAGGGAGTTTGATTGACAACCTAACAGCCAATAGAAAATGAGGGAGCCTCGTTTTCTATTGGCTGATGTTTATCTGGCCTCAACACGTCCACAGTTGATAGATTTTTGTTCTTTTTTTTTTTTTTTGGTCATCATAATTACAAAGCTGCTGCGTCTCTGTAATGGTATTTTAATCTTTCACTGACAGTTTGAAACAAAAAAAAAATCCTCCATACAACCTTTAAGGACTTCAAGTTTCATAGTCAATAGTCATTTTTTTAGTTCTTTGTTATTTAAAGGTCTTATATTGACGCTGAAAGTGACTCTTGTGAGCTTTAAGTCGTGTTCTAGTGTCGTTTCCTGCTCCAAAACAGAGCTGGAGTCGTGTTTTGTTTCATTCACACGTGTTTGAGTTGAGTGAGGAGCTCGGAGTAGAGCCGCTGCTCCTCCGCGTCGAGAGGAGCAGCTGAGGGCAAACGCCTCGGGGGGAGCTGGAGGAAGTGTCCGGGGTGAAGGAAGTCTGGGAGTCCCTGATTAGACTTCTGCCCCCACGACCAGGTCCCGGAAGAGAAAGAAAATGGATGGATGTTTGAGTAAATCTTTATTATCAGTCTGTCTTCATCTCCAAAGATCAAAATACTCGATTCCACCTTGTGATGTCATGAAGTGGTAGTTTTCAAGTTAAAAGCTCCCCCCAAAAAACAACTGATAATATATATATAGTTTTTAATATTGTATTTTCATTTTTTTTTTTTTTTTTTTTTAAAGTACATTCATGAACAATTTTTACAACAGAAAATAATTTCCAACTTCATGCAGGCGACTTTTAACATCACTGAACATCAGACTAAAACCAGGACTAAACCAGGTCTAAACCAGGTCTAAACCAGGACTAAACCAGGACTAAACCAGGTCTAAACCAGGACTAAACCAGGACTAAACCAGGACTAAACCAGGTCTAAACCAGGACTAAACCAGGACTAAACCAGGTCTAAACCAGGACTAAACCAGGTCTAAACCAGGTCTAAACCAGGACTAAACTAAACCAGGACCAGGTCTAAACCAGGTCTAAACCAGGACTAAACCAGGTCTAAACCAGGTCTAAACCAGGTCTAAACCAGGACAGGTCTAAACCAGGTCTAAACCAGGTCTAAACCAGGACTAAACCAGGTCTAAACCAGGACTAAACCAGGACTAAACCAGGACTAAACCAGGTCTAAACCAGGTCTAAACCAGGACTAAACCAGGTCTAAACCAGGTCTAAACCAGGACTAAACCAGGTCTAAACCAGGACTAAACCAGGACTAAACCAGGACTAAACCAGGTCTAAACCAGGTCTAAACCAGGACTAAACCAGGTCTAAACCAGGACTAAACCAGGACTAAACCAGGTCTAAACCAGGTCTAAACCAGGTCTAAACCAGGACTAAACCAGGTCTAAACCAGGACTAAAACCAGGTCTAAACCAGGAAACCAGGTCTAAACCAGTACTAAACCAGGTCTAAACCAGGTCTAAACCAGGACTAAAACAGGTCTAAACCAGGACTAAACCAGGACTAAAACAGGACTAAAACCAGGACTAAACCAGGACTAAAACAGGACTAAACCAGGACTAAACCAGGGACTAAACCAGGACTAAACCAGGTCTAAACCAGGTCTAAAACAGGACTAAACCAGGACTAAACCAGGTCTAAACCAGGAAACCAGGATCTAAACCAGGTCTAAACCAGGACTAAACCAGGTCTAAACCAGGACTAAAACCAGGTCTAAAAGCCTGGACTAAACCAAGACTAAACCAGGACTAAACCAGGACTAAGCCAGGTCTAAACCAGGTCTAAACCAGGACTAAACCAGGTCTAAACCAGGACTAAAACAGGACTAAACCAGGTCTAAGACAGGTCTAAGCCAGGTCTAAACCAAGACTAAACCAGGACTAAACCAGGACTAAACCAGGTCTAAACCAGGTCTAAACCAGGACTAAACCACTTAGAAAGACTTGAAAGAGAGAGAGAACCCAGAGCCCGTGGTCTGCACAGTGCAGTCGTGCAACAGATGTGCTTCGCTCCGTGCGGTGCAGAGCTCTGTGTCCGTCCTTTCACCCGCGTAGACCGTCGGGTGACCACCCTTTTGGGCCCGTCCCGACATTCAGTCCTGGTTCAGTTCTGGTTTAGTCCTGTTTTAGTCTGTGTGTGTTGCGCCTCCCAGTGGCTCTTCTCACCGATGAAAAACCGCTGATCTAAATGATTTTAGTGAAGGTGGAGCACTTCCTGTATTACCACATGACATCACAAGGTGGAACAGAGTGTTTTCAGTTTGAGAGAAGAAGAACTCAGCCTAAATCTGCAGGTTTGTGATGTTAAACATGTGAATGAAACAAAACACAACTCCAGGTCTGTTTTTGATGAGGAAACATTATAACATAGATCAGAAAATAGCCTCATATCGGCCCTTTAAATCTGTGTGTCATTTGTTCATTCGTTTTTCAAAATAAAACCAAAAATAAGAAAATGAAAAAAAAAAAAAAAAAAAACTTTTTTTTTTCATTATTTGTCTCCAAAACCAAAATGAAAAAACAGATAATGATTTGTTTTTTTCAGTTTTCAATTTTGTGTTTAAATGAAAAATGGAAAAAACGGATAAAGGGTTTTTCCTGTTTATGTGACTTAAACTGAGATGCTGGACTAAACCAGGACTAAAACAGGACTGAACGATTTTCAGTCCTTGTCTGGTCCCGGTCTCAGTCCTGGTCCTTTTCCCGGTGTCAGTCCTGGTCCTGGACTCAGTTTTGGTCTGGTTCTGATTTGGTCCCGGACCAGAGACTGGGACCAGACTGGAACTGAGACCAGGACTGAAAATGGTTAAGTACTGGTTTAATCCTGGTTCAGTCCTGGTTTAGTCCAGCATCACAGTTTAAGTCACGGAAACTGAGACCGAGACTGAGACTGGGACCCGACCGGGACTGAGACCAGGACTGAGGCCGGGACTAAGGCCGAGGCTGAAGCCGGGACAAGACCAGGACCAGACCGTGATTGAGACCGGGACCAAACCGGGACCAGACCAGGACTGAAAATGGTTTAGTCCTGATTCAGTCCTGGTTTAGTTCGGCGTCGCAGTTAAGTCGGAAACGGGAAACGGTCGTTATCATTTTTTTCCATTTTTCATTTAAACACAAAACTGAAAAAATAAAACATTATCAGTTTTTTCATTTTGGTTTTTGAGACAAACAATTGAGAAAATAGTCGTTTTTTTTTTTGTTTTCTTAGTTTTGGTTTTATATTGAAAAACGAATGAACGAATGACACATGGATTCCTTCAGTGGAGAGTCAGTGAAGTGGTGCAGGAGTCTGGTGTTTTTGTGAAAGTGTCAGACGTCCATCGCACTTCTTTGCCTTTAGCGTTATTGCTGCTGGTCTCGTTGTTGTTGTTGTCGCTCATGTTGTTGACGCAGCGTCTCGTGTCCCGCTTCACAGGCCTGGATGCGTCCGCCTCCACCAGTTCACAGGAGCTGTCCATCCCCAACGATGTAAGTCTCACCAAGTCTGCTCCTCTTCATCTGCTCCTCTTCATCTGCACTTCCTGATGAGAAGAAAAGAACCTCATTACTTTAGTCTCGCAAGTCTTCAAAAGGATCGAGAAAGGATAGAAGCGTGAAATGAATGAGCCGTGGCGTGTTGCAGTTCGATTTTCTGGGACCAAAATGACATGGAGTGGATTCTCACATTTTTAGTCACATTTTTATATAAAGTGTTTCCACCTTTAACTCACGATTTACAACAAAAGAACCACACATTCATTCACAGACACTAGAGATGAGGTGATCTGAGTGTCTTGCCCAAGGACACAATGAAAGTATCCGCCTGTGGGAGCTGGAATCGCACCGCCGATCTGCAGATCAGTCGACACTCTTTGACCAACAATCTACAAACAGTATTAACGATGAACTAAGTCATTTTTCCGTAGGGTCTGACACCTTCTTGGCTCCATGACGATGAAACTGGAATATTTCCAGCTCCTACAGATGAACGACGAGACACTTAACAAACCAGTTTTGTGAATTATCCATAAAGTTGGATCTTTCGAACACACCCATGATCTTTTTAATCAATTCTTAAGATTCCTGGCCTTGTCAAATATTATACACGTGTAATTTTATTTAGAGCATTCAACAATTGGTAACACTTTATAATAACTACACCTTATTTAGCCTTAATAAAGCATGAACAAAGACTTAATTAATAATGATTCACGCTTAGTAACTACTTAATTACTACCTGAATTAGCACTTAACTTGCACTTAATTCACCTGTGCTGTAAATAGTTACTCAATACTTCTTAATTACTCATGAACTAACTATTTGCATGTTTACAAATGTATATTTAAGTTCACATTTGAGCATTTATTAATGATTAATAAGCCATGAGAGAATGATTTACTAATAATACAATACAATGATCATTCATGCAGCTGTTTTCTGTTAGTTAAGTCTTTCTGAGAGTTTTTCTAAAGTGAAGACGAATTATGTTTATTAAACATTTGTTAAGGTTGGTCAAATTCCAGAGAAACAATAATGCATTATTAGTAAATCATTCTCTCATGGCTTTACTAATCATTAATAAATGCTCAAATTTGTACTTAAATATACATTTACAAATGCACACGCAAATTGTTAGTTCATGAGTAATTAAGTAAGAAATACTTATGAGTAACTTTTTACAGCACATTCAAATTAAGTGCAAGTGCTAATTAAGGTAGTAATTAAGTAGTTACTAAGCGTGAATCATTATTAATTAAGTCTTGTTCATTATTAATTAAGTCTTTGTTCATGCTTTATTAAGGCTAAATAAGGTGTAGTTATTATAAAGTGTTACCCAACAATTTACAACCAAATAATCTACAAAGCTTGTTCAAAATGAGAAAGAGAACTCATAATTTTAGAGGGTAAGGAAATTTCAAATTCCTTGCCTTCCTCAAGTGGAGGAGTTCAAGTATCTCGGGGTCTTGTTCTCGAGTGAGGGGAGGATGGAGCGTGAGATTGACAGGTGGACAGGTGCAGCGTCGGCAGTGATGCGGTCGCTGTATCGGACCGTTGTGGTGAAGAGGAGCTGAGTCAAAGCTCTGGATTTACCATCAGTCTCACCTATGGTAATGACCGACAGGACGAGATCGCCGATACGAGCAGTCAAAATGAGTTTCCTCCGCAGGGTGTCTGGGCGTCTCCCTTAGAGACAGAGTGAGGAGCTCAGTCACACGGGAGGAGCTCAGAGTAGAGCCGCTGCTCCTCCACGTCGAGAGGAGCCAGATGAGGGACGGGCATCTGTTCCTGATGCCTCTTGGACGCCTTCCTGAGGAGGTGTTTCAGGCATGTGCCACCAGGAGGAGGCCCCGGGGAAGACCCAGGACACGCTGGAGGGACTATGTCTCTGGGCTGGCCTGGGAACGTCTCAAGGTCCCCCCGGAGGAGCTGGAGGACGTGTCTGAGGTCAAGGAAGTCTGGGAGTCCCTGCTTAGACTGTTGCCCCCACAACTCAGCCCCGGTTAAGTGGAAGAAAATGGATGGATGATTTCGGCAAATAAAAAGTCTTCGTCAGATATTTTTCTTGCTTTGAACCACAGTAAACAAAACAGTTACCAGCCCAGGTGCTCATATCCTCCTCCCCACTCTACAACAAGAAAACAGTTTAGATATTTACATAAAAAAAACATTCTATTAAATACAAAAAGAGTTTAACCATGTCATAAAAAGCATCTTAAGTCAGTCAGATCAGCTGGAACCTGTGAGTCAGTGGGACACACTTTCCTCTCGAAATAAACGTCATTAGTCGAGCGTCGGATCCGCTGACCCACAGGTTGGCGGTGTGATTCCAGCTTCCACAGATGAACGCTGTCGTTGTGTCCTTGGGCAAGACACTTAACCTACCTGCACCCCCAGTGTCTGCACATACAAGTGAGTGTGTGAATGTGCGATGGGACAAGATCTCGTGAGACAAAATTACCACAAGATCGTGCAAACTAGAGAAAAACGACCCCATGAGATTTTTTTATTTTTTTTTCCACACAAATTGACCTTTAAATTTGACCAAAAAAAAGAGTTAAGAACTGGTGAGTTGTTCAGTTTGAGAAGCTCCAAAAAGCAGGACTACAATGACTGCCAAAGTATTACATAAAATAAATAAAAATAGTAAAGCCAAAATTGTGAAACGGATTGCACGACTTATTTATTACATTTTGTTCTCGTTCTGTCATTCCTTCTACTTTGTTATAATTATTTAGAACCAAAATATCTTAAAAAGTTGAACCAAAAATAGGAATTAGATTATAAAATATGATAAGGAGCACACATAAAATAAATAAAAACAGACTTTGACTGATTGGAAGTACGAAATATAGTGTGTTACGGGCAGAATTACCATGCAAAAGCAGCAGCGTAATTAGAAAGTGTAATTAGACGGTATATTTGACGACGTTGTTGATGTCAGTTCTGCTCGTGTCTGGTATCTCGTAGTCACACACACACACACATTCTCGTGAAGCCAGTGCAGCTGTTTTAATATTTGCTGTTTGTCCAGTTCATCGGCTGCATAATCGGACGCCAGGGCAGCAAAATAAACGAGATCCGGCAGGCCTCGGGGGCTCACATCAAAATCGCCAGCGCCGCGGACGGCTCCAGCACGCGCCAAGTCACCATCACGGGGACTCCGGCGAGCATCAGCCTGGCGCAGTACCTCATCTCCGCCAGGTAACACACGTTTACGCACAACTTAAGACATTTGTCACGATTTAGTGCTTAGTTTAGACGTTTGGTTTGTGTCGGTTAAAGCAGCGGCGCGTAACTCTCTGGAGGCGGCGCGTCCAAACAGAAAGATGAAGCTGTATTCTGGAACATTCTAATAATAGCTGCGCTTTTCCAGACACTCGAAGAGGCTTTACGGAGCATTATTCATTCACTTTACACTCGACGGTGGTAAGATAAGATACTGTTGTAGCCACGGCTGACCTGGCAGACTGACACAAGTGAGGCTGCCAATCTGCGCCATCTGCCCCTCCAACCTCACACACCACACACACACACACACACACACACACACACACACGCACGCACGCACACACACACACACGCACACACACACACACACACACACGCACGCACGCACACACACACACCACTTTCATACCTGGAAATGTGGGTCAATCCATGTGTCATTTGTTCATTCGTTTTTCAAAATAAAACCAAAAATAAGAAAACGAACAAACAACAGTTTTCTTCATTATTTGTCTCCAAAACCAAAATGAAAAAACAAATAAAGATTCGTTTTTTCAGTTTTTGATTTTGTGTTTAAATGAAAAATGGAAAAAAAAGGATAACGTTTACGTGACTGTCGGACTTTTGCACCACGTACGGACTGAACCAGGACTGATCCAGATCCGGGGCCAGACCGAGACCAGAGCGGGACCAGGTCCGGAACCAGAGCGGGACCAGACCAGGACCAGGTCCAGGACCAGAGCGGGACCCGAGCGGGACAAGAGTGGACTCCGACCTTTGACTCCGAGTCTGGTCTCGGTCTCGGTCTGGTCTGGTCCCGGTCTGGTCTCGGTCTCTGGTCTGGTCTGGTCTGGTCCGGTCTGGTCTCAGTCTTGGTCTGGTCCCAGTCTGGTCTCAGTCTTGGTCTGGTCCCGGACCTGGATCTGTCCTGGTTCATTCCGTATCTAGCACAAAATTTCGACATCGAAGTCACGTAAACAGTTCGTTATCTGTTTTTTTCCATTTTTCATTTCAACACAAAATCGAAAACTGAAAAAACGAATCATTATCTGTTTGTTCATTTTGGTTTTAGAGACAAATAATGAAGAAAACTGTTTTTTTTTTTTTTCCGTTTTCTTATTATTGGTTTTATACTTAAAAAACAAATGAACGAATCATACACGGATTTGGGTCGAGTGAAAAATAGTGAAAGGTGAAGGCGATGGGCAGGATTGATCCACAGGAAGAACCAAAAAGTATTCAGTATTTTTCAATTTCATTGGGAAGAGAAACAGTTTGAACAGAGGTTTGAGTCACACACATCTGATTCACTTTTGCATTTATGAAGTTCACAAACAAATTTCTCGAGTCGTTTTCCGCTGTTAGAACAAACAACAACCACACAATTAACGATGTCCAAATCCCAAAACTAAAATATGACAATATCAGAACCAGAAACAAAAGTGATATGGATCAAAAGACTTGAAAAGATCAAACATGGTGGTTTGATGCTCACTTTTCCGGAAAACCCTTCCCACTGTGCATTGCGCAATGACCGGACGTCCGACAGTCTTGATGCGTGGAGCCATGGAAAGTTTCTAACGAGGTACAGTTTGACGCCTATAAAAAAATAAACTGTTATTCTTTTATCACTGCACAAGTTAGGCATCAAAATTATACATTTACAGAAGTAATTAATCTGATTTCAGTAATTAAGCACAGTACATATACTTCAGAAATCCTCCTGAGCTGCAGGTTGGAGACCCGTGTTTTAGCCAAAGGAACATTTCCATGGAAACAGGCAGGAGCAGGTTCTCTTCCAGGAGATGCAATTCGTCTCCGAGGAAGGATGTATTTTATTCAGAGATTTTTATTACAGTAAAAACTTCATGGACATAAACAGAATGTGGCCCTTGAACCTGTTCTCTCTGCCAGGTGAAGCATTAGACACAAGTTTAAATCACTGAACACTGGAGGTTTGGACACTGGAGGCTTGGACCTCATTTTGGCCTAATTGAGTCCATTTTCCTGACTTAGTCCTGAGCTGCCAGGTAACACATTAGACTTTGCCCGGTGAAGCTCTCTGTCTGCAGACTGTGTGTGTGTTTAACTGATGCATGGACGTGTAATGAGGAAGTGTGAACAATGTGGGACCATTAAACATTCAGGCACTTTTAGGCTGCGTTCAGACTGCAGCCTGAAGTCAACCAAATCTGATTTTTTGGCCTCTATGTCTACGTTCAGACTGCAGGGCTTAACGCTCAATTCAGATTTTTTTATGTAATCCGATGTTTTTGCGAGGTCGTTCACATTTCCAGTTAAATGTGACGTGTATGTGACTCCAGTGTGAATGTTAAACGGCCCAAAAGTGTCCCACATGTGACACTGGAGACTAGAGATGCGCAGATTGCGGTTACAACCGCGGTATCCGCGGTTAATCCGCGGGTCGGGCGGATGACGTGACGAAAAATTATATTTTAATTAAATTCGGGCGGGTGGCGGTTTAACTACTAAAAAAAAAAAAGTTATTGTTAGTATTGTTACGTACATCTGAAAAGACGAGTGTCATTGTCTGTGTTTGTAGTATGAAGTGTACGTCATGTCCTTAATTAGCCCATTTGACCTCGTTTTTATGTTCTGAAGGTTCAGGTTGTGTCGGGTTATTGATGCCTAAGGTTTACGAGGCACATATTATATGCAGTTTATTTTATTATTTCTAATTTATTTCAGCTGTTTGCCAACACGTAAGTGGCTATAGGGACATATTTATTTAGTTATGCTTTTTTTTTGTTTTTTTTGTTTCGATATCAGATATATTTTAAAACACGCAGACATTATAGCGTAAACTGCCACTCGGGGGATTTAAAACTTAAAGAAAGACCGATGGAGTGAGGCTATGACTTTGAAATAACATGGGGCAATGGCAGAATGTTCAGAATGTAACAACATCCAACACGAAGGCAAGAAGGTTCAAAAAACAGCCTAGTCGGAAAACGTTGTCAGTTAATTAGCTGCGCAAGAAAACCAGGTAAGTCTGGGGTTGTTACGGACAATTAAGAATGTGAAAAACACGCTGAGCCAATTTTGGAATGAATGAGCTGTAGAGTTTGCATTTTTATCGAGGCTTCTTAGTTTGTTTGCTGTATGATTGTTCTAAAATCTAAAATCAATGGGCGGATGGCGGAGGGTGCGGTTTTGAAAACCTTTGGTGCAAAATGGACAGCGGGCGGATGATGAGTTTTGTGTCGCGGTTGCGGATGAAAAAATAGCCCATCCACACATCTCTACTGGAGACACGACGACGTCAACCGCAGCGAGCGTCTCTGTGTTTATGGAAGTTGTCTAAACATGGACGCAGCATCGAGCACCTGGAGATTTTAAAGTTCCTCTCGTACCGGAGCCAGAACATGAACAACTTACACGTATAAATACACACATATACACATACACATACATACACGTACACATACAAATAGATAAAATAAATAAGTAAATAATAAGTTAGTAATTAAAAAGGGAGGCAGTCGGGTTACACATTCATACAGTACATTTTAGAGTACACATACATCAGGCATGTCCAAACAATGGCTCGTGGGCCAAATGCGGCCCTCAGACACATTTTTCTTGGCCCTCAGGCTTCCAGGTGAATTGGCCCAAATGACCTTGTATCAATTAAAAATTAACTTTTTACTGCAGTTTTTTTGAAAATCTACCTTGATAAAGATAATATTGAATATTTACTGTGTGTTTTAAGGATCTTGCATGAATAATTCTGATGGCTCATTTTAACGTGTTAAATAAAAGCCTGATCCCGTCAGATCTCAGAAGCTCAGCAGGTCTGGCTCTGGTCAGGACTTGGAGCCACAGTGAGAATAACTGTCGTTGTGTCCTTAGGCAAGACACTTCACCCAGATTGCCTTGTATGAAAGTGGTGTGTGTGTGAGTGACGGTGGTGGTCGGAGGGACCGATGGCGCTGTTTGGCATGGCAGCCGCGCTTCTGTCAGTCTGCCCCAGGGCAACTGTGGCTACAATACTATCTTACCATCACCAGGTGTAGAGTGAATGAATAATACTGAATAATGATCTGTAAAGTGTCTTTGTGACAAAAAATGTCTGTAAAAAGCGCTATATAAATAAAGATTTACTTACTTAAACATGCACATATTTCAATTCTTCACTGTATTGAGCATCATTAGAGCCACATCACTGTATGGGGCGGCAGTAGTTCAGTTGGTGGAGCATTCGCCACTATCTAAGGTTGGCGGTTTATTCCAGCTCTCGACATAAACATCACAGTTGAGTGGTCAGATCCACTGACCCACAGGTTGCTGGTGTGATTCCAGCTCCCACAGATGAATGCTGTCGTTGTGTCCTTGGGCAAGACACTTAACCCACCGTGCCCACAGTGTCTGCGTACACTGGTGTATGAATGTGTGTGTGGTGAATGGTCTTGTTGTAAACTGAGTAACTTGAAGGTGGAAAAGCGCTACAGAAAAATGTGACCATTTACCATCAGTCTGTGGCCCTCGATCGGCCTCTGCTTCATCTGTGTTTAGAAATGTGGCCCTTGATGAAAAAAGTTTGGACACCCCTGACACACATGTAGAGTACACATTTTTAGGATTTCAGTAGGTTTTTTTCCCCCCTCAACAGAAAACCACTGAAAACCTTTACATTATGCATTACAGTTACTCCCCACTTCATATAGTTTAATTTTCTCCACCACTGTCACAGTTCACAAAGTTCAATGACAAAAACCTTTCACAAAACGTTGCTATTATTGGAAACAAACACGCTCATTTTCCCTCCACATTTTGTAACCGGAGAATTTTCGTAATGGTTTCTTCTTTTTGTATCATAAAAATAACTAAACTGCCCATTTGGAAAGTCTTGAATAATTTAAAAATGTTTGGCCTTGCAACAAAAACGAATCTCCGCTGAACATTTCCTCTGTGATTGTGAGTGTCTGAGTGGAATAACCCTTCACATTTCCCCT